TGGGCGGGGTAACGGCCTGAGCGGGGGAGGGGCGAGGGCGGGGCGAGGAGCGAGGGGCGGGGGCGAGGGACGGATCGTACTTTGCGAGCTTGGTCGCGAAGGTGTGCGGCGACGAGCGGTACGTGCGAGTGAGGCCGTGCGCCCCCGCCTTGCCGGCGGCGGCCAGGAAGTCGTGCCTCAGCGTGAGGTGCTCGACCGAGTAGTTGAGGATGCGCGGGAAGTGCTCGATGTCGCCGATCTGCCGCCTGGGGCCCGAGCCGAGGCGCTCTGAGTACTTCCGGCGGGAAATTTCGCGGGGAAATGGAGGGGGGGGGGGGGGGGGCAAGCGGTCCGAGGAGGAGGCCGAGCTACGTCACGGCGACATCTCGGCGACATCTCGGCGACATCTCGGCGACATCTCGGCGACATCTCGGCGACATCTCGGCGACATCTCGGCGACATCTCGGCGACATCTCGGCGACATCTCGGCGCCCGAGCGGTCCGAGGAGCAGGGCGAGCTTTGGCGCGAGAGAGGCCTCGACCGGCATCGAGAGCAGGCTCGGGTTCCTGAAGGGGGGGGGGAGGGAGGGGGGGGAGGGGGAGCTTCTCCACACGGCTAGGGGGGTCGAGGGTGGGCCGCCCCTCCCATATCCACGGCAGGAGCCCCACGCTCCTGCTCAGCAGCGTCGGCACGTCGCCGAAGCCCTGCTCCTTGAGCCAGGCGACCTAGAGTAGGGGGAGGGGGGGGGTGAGGGCAGGGTGGACCCGTGCGCTGCTCCTCTCGAGAGCCAGCCGGCCTTGGGCTGCACGTTCGCCTCGAGCGAGTAGGCGAGGAGGGGCGGGTGGCGAGAGAGGAAGCGGCCGAGGCGCGGCACGCCGAGGCTGCGGTAGTACTCGATCCGCGGCGCGATCGCCTCCGCGTTGAGCCCGACTGTCGGGAGCTGCTCGAGCACTCGCCCGACCTGCAGAGCCGTGTGCGTGTCAGGTGTGTGTCAGGTGTGTGCCGCAGTGCCGCGTGTGTGTCTTCGCAGGCAGGCGGGCGGGGGGAGGGGCCGCCGCGTGGCGAAGGCTGGCCACGGCGAGGGCCGAGCGCCGCCGCTCACGGCCCGTGTGTCTGCCCGCGAGTGGCGGCGTTGCGGTGGGCGAGTGGAGGGCGCTGGCGGTGCCTCCAGCTCCGGGATCGAGGAGAGGAGCTCGACAGCGGGTCGCATCTGCCGCTCGACGTCGATGCTGACGAGGCGCGGGTTGCGAGAGAGATACCGCGCGATATCGCGCACGCCGAGCGACTGCAGGATCGCAACCTTCAGCCCCAGGTCACGCCGCACCGAACAGCCCAGCAAGTCGGGCGCGCGCCGCACCGAGCCGCCCAAGTCCGCGACGCCGAGCGACAGCAAGTAGTCGAGACCGGGCGAGAGCGCCTGCGGCTCGGTGGAGAGCACCGACGGGTTGCGGCGCACCACTGCCGCCACCGCCGCGTCGGGCACGCCCAGCCCCTGCAGGAATGCGAGTCGGGACGGCAGCCGCCCGAGGGCGTCAGCCGCAAGCGGCGCAGAGGGCGCGATGCGGTGCTGCTGGAGCAGTTCCTCGAGCGATGCTGCTGCGGCCGGCGCGGCGGACGACGCCGCACGCCGGCAGTGCGGCAGTTGCCTAGCCGACGTCGGCTGCAGCAGCGACAGAGGCCGTGCAGCGACAGAGACTCGCAACATATATTTTCGCAACAAAGAATTTTTAAACCCCCCCTTCTTCCCGCGCATGAAGGTCCTCCCATCCCTCCCTTGGGCTGGCGGTTTTATTTCTTTCTGGTCGCCGGACGAGATCACGAATGAGGCGCTCTTCCGGGCTTGCCGTGCGTACGGCCTAGCTAGGCGAACAGTTCAACGCTGCGGCGCAAGACGAGGGAACCTTTGCCGAGTGGCTCGACGAGCTGCCGATCGAGGTGGCTACGGCGACCGCCCGGCTGCTCAAGCACCACGCGCGCTCCGGCGCGTGGATCGAGATTCACCCCGGCAGCCCCAGCCAGGCCCCGCGCGCTGGCCGCGACCGCGACCGCGGCCCTTCACTCGAGCCCGAACTGCCTATCAGACGTGCCGGAGCCGTCCGACTGTAGCGACTAGCACACCTCTGTCGAGTCCCAGAAACCCGAGGAGTCACACAGTCCACGCCTGTGTGATGCACGCCCTGTGAGCGGGGCGGGGTGCGCACTGTGCCTCTGTGTTCGTGCGTCGCCCATCTCTCCTGGAGATGAAGGACTGCTCTATTTATTTATTTATAGGTCGCTGCGAGAATGGGCGAGAAACTGCGAAGAGAGACAGGCGAGGAAGAGGCAGACGCCAGCGCAGGGTGGGGGGCGACGGCTAGCACCACACTCCTCTCTCTCCTTAAAATCCCTGTGTGGTGGCGAGGTGTAGGTCTCTGCTCGCGCGTCACCTCGAGTCCCTTCCCACTGCTTGATCCAACCCTTGGCCCTCTGATGTCCAGTGCAGCACATGTACTCTTGGTGTGTGTGCTGTGGGCCCTCTTGTCTCTGCTACATACGGTGGCGGCGTGCCGTCCTCCCATCCCTCCCTCCAGGGTTGTCTGTTTTCTTTCTTTCTTACAAAGAATACATTGTGTTCTCTCTTTATTACACAATCGACACATCACACAATGCACACACGCGCATATCAGATCGCAACAATAGCAACACCAGCACACACACACACATCGCGAGTACTCGAGTGAGCCTGTCTATACCCTCGCTGTGCATGCACCCCACACGCTTGCACACTACATCGCGCGACTACGTGTGGCGGCGTCGGCACGTCCCTCGGCCTTACGCAGCAGCTTCTTGTTGACCTGCACGAGATCGAGGTTGAAGTGCGTGTAAAAGACAAGCAGTACGAACACGGCCAGGAAGATAGGCGAGAAGAGCGGGTACTCGTAGCCCAGTCCGCGCAGGCCGAGGTTGGCGATGTAGTCCGGGAATTCGCCCGTGTAGATGTACGTGAGGCGGAGGCACGCGACCGACATCGGCCCCCACCAGGTGATGCGGGTGGCGTAGAGGGAGCCGAGGACGAGCCGCTGGAAGTTGAGCAGCGCCTTTGGCCACGACATGGCGGGCGTCTGGTGGACCGCCATCGCGAGGAGCATCATGCCGCCCGAGAAGTGGTTCGTGATGAGCACCTGCGCCATGAAGGCCTTGGAGATGCCCGGGCCCGCCATGAGCGCCATCATCTCGAACCCGACGCCAAAGATGTGGTGCGGCACCATCACGTTGTCGATCGCCTTGTTGTAGCGCGAGATCGTGTAGTCGGCGCCCGTCGGGCTCAGCCGCCGGTAGAACATCGCGAGCATGTCGTAGGTCTCCCACGCCATGTCAGCGTACATCACAAAGTAAAAGATCGAGTCGTCGCCGCGGAAGAGGTAGATCAGCGGGAGCAGAGAGCCGACTATAAAATGCTCGAGGGCAAACACGACTTGCCCGAAGCCGACGGTGGCCAGGCTGGGCGAGTGCTCGTTGACAAAGTTCCAGTCGTTCATGAAGGGCGCGCGGTACGGGAAGGCGAGCCCCTTCTCGTTGAGCGCGTAGCGCTTGTGGCACCAGCCGCTGTGCTTGGCGTCCCACAGCTCCTGCATGTACGCCATGGCCTCGCGCGCTGCCTTCTCGCGCCGCGCCGCGTCGGCCGCCGGCGGTGCGACGCCGCGGAAGGCCAGGAATCGGGCGACCTGCTCCTCGCTCGCCTCCATCACCGGCACGTCGAACGGCTGTGACTGGCCGGGCGGGTCGGGCCACGGCAGCTGGCTCGGCAGACTGCACTTGCTCGCATCAAAGTGGGTGAAGAGGAGGCGCGCGATGATGCCCGTGGTCCAGATGAGCACATTTCCCAGGACGGCGGCGATCAGGAGCGAGAAGACGTAGCGGATCGGCGAGAAGTCGCCCACGAACGCCTCGGAGATGGAGAAGCTGCCGAGCCGCAGCTCCGAGCGCGAGAGCTGGAAGGCCTGGTCGAGGCACTGGGTCGTGATGCACCACCCGGCGTAGTCGCCGGCCAGGACCATCTCCTTGTTGGGCCAGACACCAAACATTGCGATGAAGCGGTCAAATCGGTCGATGTCGATGGACTGCAGGGCGCCGATCACGGACTGCAGGGCGCCGATCACGGCGGAGAGGTTGGGCGGCGGCGCGGCGACAAGGGTGGCAACGACGAGGGCAGCGGCAGCGGCGGCGGCGGTGACGGTCGCGGCACGAGAGGAGACGTCGATGGTGTGGGAGGAGACGTCGAGCGAGGACTTGTCAGCAACCATCTTGCTAGGGGAGACGCGGTGAGCGAGGACTTGGAGGATGAGAGAAGTGCTCCTTGGTGTCCAAGTCTCTTGTTGAAAGGTTGAAACGGACGGACGTCAATCTCCACAGCGGAGATATAACAAAAACGACTCCAAGAATTCCTGGGCCAACGAAATTAGTTTGTGCATTATCCATTGATGCTGAGCTGCTGAGTGAGTGCACGGTTGTCGCTCGCTCGTGTCATGCTCGGTCGGTCGGGCGGGCGGGGAAGGAAGGAAGGATCCCAAACAAACAAAACGCAAACAAAAGTACTTCAATCCGTTTGGCTCGTTCGTCCCCAGCATCCTCACCACCCCACATTCACGAGGGCTTGCTTGCTTGGGACAAGAGGCACCCCGGACCCGAGGGCAAGGCCAAGCTCGCACAAACGACAAACGACGGAGGAGCAAGCCCTCGCTCGCCTCGTGCTTTTGAGAGAGAGATTTTTAGCAATACCAAACAACTCTAACACTCGTTTTGCTTTTGTCCCAAGCAAGCAAGCCCTCGCTCTCGTGTCTGAATGTGAGTGAGGTGCAGGTGTTGGTGAGGATGCTGGGGACGAACGAGCCAAATTGAAGTACTTTTGGTACGAAAGAAAGAAAACGGACACCCCATGGCGCATGCCATGGGAGGGATGGGAGGACGACGGCACGCCGCCACCACACAGGGATTTTAAGGAGAGGGTGTGATGCGCTAGCCGTCTTTTGGTACGTCCTTCCCCGAGGGGGCACAGGAATTCTTTTTTGCGTGGCTCTTCCTCATGGTGCCTGCATGGTGCATTCTGGGTGCATTCACTCACACCACCGCAGTACAATCGATTGAGTCCGGGGTTTTTTATGCGTATGATTGTAAGGGCGTGTGGACCCGCCCCAGCCAGGACAGGCTCTGGCGTTCTGATGGATGGAGCGCTCTGGTGCCGAGGAGAGCCGCTGGCACGAGGGGTACAGTAGGCCGCCAGAGAGTGCAGAGTGAGCACTGCCCCTCTCCAAGATCGACTCCTGTGGAGAAGCCCGCCTAGGACGATCAAGGGGAGGCCAGCCACACTTAAATGGTAGACCCCTGGACCGCTTGGAGCGCTGAGCGCGCAGAGGTCGAGCGGTAGTAGCATCGATGCCGCCGTGGGAACCGAAAAGAAAGAGAGAGAAAAAAGAGGCAACCCAAGGGAGGGAGGGGAGGACAGGGGGAGGACGGCACACGCCGCCACCACACAGAGATTTTAAGGAGAGGAGTGTGGTGCTAGCCGTCGCCCACCCTAACCCTTGGGCGTACCTGTAACAAAAAACCCTGGTAATTTTTATCGGGGCGGCGGCGCAGGGTTCCAACTTTTTCCGGGGTATGGTATGGTACCATCGCGGCCCAAAGGGTATGTATGTATGTAGGAAGGTGAAGAACAGCCAGGCTCGGACTGGACACACCAACGCGGTGTGGGTGGACGCTGGACAGATTGATGACGGCACGCACGAGCGACACACAGACACAAACAGGCTCACAAGACACACAGTCAGCGGGCTGCCACACACCCTGAGTAGGCGTACACATAACTCAAGGCCACATCCTCCCTGTCGCCCTCCCCAGCACTCCAAGGTGCCAAGAGAACAAACAAGGGCACAACAAACAACAGACGACAGGAAGTAACATGCGAGGCTAGAGCAGGCTTGCTCCACCTCTAGCAATCTCGCCGCCCGGCGAGGCACGGACGAGACCGTGTGTGGGGTCATGTGAGATTCTATGGACGCCCTCCTCACAGGCTAGCTGCCTACTGCTAGCCCTATCTCGCACTCACGGGTGATGACAATTCATTGTATGAGTGTGTATGCGAGCAGAGGCGCGTGTGCTAAATCTAGGCCGCACGTCGTGGCACTATGACGCATGTAGACGTGCGGCCGCAGCGCGCCCACCGCAGGCTCGGTGGTGCGCGCGTGTTAGCGAGAAAGTTGCGGGTAGAGCCATGCCCGACTTTTCGAAGACGAGCCCCACGCCACGGATGCCAGCCGTGCCTTCGCGGGAGTCGTCTCTCGAGCCGCGTCCCGTCGGCACCGTCCCTGAGTGCGTCCCGCCTTGGCGGCACACACTCTCGACGAGGACAGTCCGGCCTACGGGAACGTGTCGCGCGCCGGCGACGGTTGCGGCGTGGTGGTTGTGTACGAAGCGCCGATGGCACGACCACCGCCCTGCATCCAGACCGGGCAAGGAGGGGCCTGCTCGCGTTCCGCGGAACAGGAGATCTTTCCCCCTCCCCCGGCCTGAGCAGCGACGGGTGGAAGGCAGCCCCTTGAGTCGAGGGCGGCGCGACCATTGCGCTGACTCAAAGGCCAGCTAGCTGGCCCGTTCAGTACAGATGGTCTCGCCGCCCCGCTCCGCGCCGCCCGCCGCCGCGCCGCGCCGCCGCCCGATGATTATTAATTCATTATTAATTAATTAATAAGTATTTAGACCACCCGCCGCCGCGCCGCCCCGCCCTGCGTCGCCCGCTGCCTCGCATTGCCGCCGCCTCGCACCGCCCGCCGCCGCGCCGCGCCGCCGCCGTGGAGGTACTTTCTTCTCAATAACAAGGCTGTGAATGCAGGCGTGGCTGTACTCGCCAGCGTCTTGTGAGCCCGCACCAGCCCCTCGTCCTCCGGAGGCGGAGCGGAAGAAAGCATGATGCCCGCGGTGGGCGAGAAGCGTGAGCCCTCCGAGGTGGCGCCATCGAGCGTCGCTGCAAGTGCGTGCGCCCTACTCTCGGCGACGCACTTACATTGCACTTATCCCGCCCTCGCCCGCACAGTGCTTGCCAAGAAGCTGCGCTCGCTCGACGACTCGTCGCTCAATCAGCTCCTGAGCAAGGCGGCAGCCGCTGGCGGCGAGGGCCTCACGGACGGTCCGCAGTCGGACAGCGCCGGAGAGCCGCAGGGGGCGGGCGGCGGCCAGGCTGCTGGCGACGGCCAGAGCGGCAGCCCCGGCGGCGGCCAGTGCGAGAGCGCCGGCGGCTCCATGGCAGCGCCGGGCGGCCTGGGCGGGATGAAGACCCTCGGTGGCGGCATGCCGATGGGCGGCCAGCTCGGGCAGGGCGGGATGCCAGGCATGCAAGGCGCCCGCGCGCACGGCGCTCGCGCGGATGGGGCTGACCGGTGCGGCCGCCGCCCCCGCAGGCATGTCGGGTATGCCGGGTATGCAGAGCATGCCGATGGGAGGTATGCAGGGCGGCATGCAGGGCATGCAGATGCAAGGCGCGGCCGCACACACCTTGCCGCCTGCAGCCCGGCCTCGCCTGAGCTCGAGCTCTCTCCGCGCGCAGGCGGGATGGGCGGAGGCACGGGCATGGGAGGCATGCCCGGCGGCGGCGGGCCGAGGGGGATGATGGCGGGAGGCAACATGATGGGAGGCAACATGATGCAGAACAACATGATGCAGAACAACATGATGCCAGGCGAGACGCGCCTGGCATCGCCGCCACCCTCCCTCCCTCGCCCCCTCGCCCTCGCTCCTCGCCCCTCGCCCCTCTCCACTGCCGACCCATCCCTCGGCCCCCTCCCTCCACAGGCAGCATGATGGGCGGCAACATGATGGGCAACCCCATGATGCAGAGCCACATGATGCAGCGAGACCCACGCCTGCCCCGCAACGCACGCCCCGGCGACTGGATGTGCAACTCGTGCAACAACCACAACTACGCCGACAAGATGGCGTGCAACCGCTGCAAGCTGCCGAAGGCCATCGCCATGTCGCGCCCGCAGCCGGGCGGCATGGGAGGCGGCATGGGCGGAGGCATGGGCGGAGGCATGGGAGGCAGGCCGATGGGCGGCGGCATGGGAGGAGGGATGGGAGGAGGGATGGGAGGAGGGATGGGCGGAGGGATGGGCGGCGGCGGGATGGGCGGCGGTGGGATGGGCGGCGGTGGCGCCGCCAACTCGTTGGCGATGGTCCTCTCCAAGCTGCAGGCCTTCCCTCCCCTCTTCAGCGCTCTCAGCAGCAGCACGGCGATGCAGAGCGCGCTCATGGCGCACCTCTCGGGCGGAGGGATGCAGGCGGCAGAGGCGCTGCTCGGCGCCGTGGAGCGAGGCGCGGCCACGAACGGCGTCCAGGGCGCGCAGGCTGCACTCGTCTCCGCCATCTCGGGCGGAGGAGGCGGTGACGGCGGCGGCGGAGGCGGCGGAGGCGGCGGAGGCGGCGGCGGCGGCGGCGGCCCAGCAGAGGGAGGCGAGGCAGCTCCCTCTGCGGGCGGCGACGATCCTCGCGCAGCCGCGGGGAGCGGCGACCCGCGCGCCGCGGCTGCGGCCAACGGCGGCGATCCGCGCGGCGGCGGCGGCGATCCGCGCGGCGGCGGCGGCGATCCGCGCGGCGGCGGCGGCGATCCGCGCGGCGGCGGCGGCGATCCGCGCGGCGGCGGCGGCGACCCGAGGCTGGGCGGCGGCGGCGGCGGCTGCGGGTCTGGCGACCCGCGTGCCGCCGCTGGCAGCGCGGGCAGCACACTCGGAGGGCTCGGGATGGGCGGCGGGCTCGGTGGCGGCGGGCTTGGTGGCGGCGGGCTCGGTGGCGGCGGGCTCGGTGGCGGCGGGCTCGGCATGGGCACACTCGGCAGCGGCGGGCTCGGCGGCGGAACGCTGGGCGGCGGGACGTTGGGAGGTCTGGGTGGAGGCTTGGGTGGGGGTCTGGGTGGAGGCTTGGGTGGAGGCTTGGGTGGCATGGGCGGCGGGCTCGGCGGCGGCGGGCTGATGATGGGGGGCGGGCTCGGCGGCGGCGGGCTGATGGGCGGCGGCGGCGTCGAGCCCCTCTCGCGCGCCATCTTCGTCAAGGGCGTCCACCCGCAGACGACGCACGAGGAGCTCGTCGCCGAGGCGTGCGGCACACCCGACGACCCTAGATTATCGTCCTTATGAGTATGATTAGTACTGCTATTGAGGTGCGGCACAAACACATCCGGCCCAGGTACTGTCGTATGAGAATCACAGTGTCTCCTCCCCGAGTCTCCCCCCCGAGGTGCGGGCGGCGCTCCCGGAGACTCCCGCCGCCTCCACCGACGCACCTCCCCCCGCCCCCCCCCCCTCCCCCTTCGCCCCCCTGCAGGTTGGCGGCGCGGGCCCGCTCGAGTCGATCCGCATCAACCACGAGCGAGGGGAGGCGCTGGTCGCCTTCGTCTCCGCGTACGACGCCGGCGCGCTCCTCGCCTCCAAGGCGTCCGTCAAGCTCCACGACCAGACCGCGGAGCTCTCGTGGGGCAAAGCCAAGCCGATCCCGCCCGAGCTCGCCGACGCGATCAGCGCCGGCGCCACGCGCAACCTGCAGCTGGTGCCGCTGCCCGCCGCGACCGAGCTCGCCGCGCTGAACGCGGTCTTCTCGCAGTTCGGCCCCATCGAGTCGATCCGCGTGCTGCGGCAGACGGCGTCGCTGCGAGCAGCCCCTTGCGGCACCCGGTGGAGCTTTCCCTGACAGTTCTCCTCGGGCCCTCCCCACAGGCGACGGGCTACATCAACTTTTGCAACGTCGAGGCCGCCGTCGCCGCGCACAAGCGGTACGCGGACGGCGCCACCGGCCGCGATTTGTGCCCGTCGCTGCCCGCCGACGCACCGGAGGCGTCGGCGCCGGTGCAGGTGACCTTCTCTTCCCCGGCTCGCAACTCGCGGCCGGGCGGCGGCGGCGGCGCGGGCGGCGGCCGGGGCGGCGGCGGCGGGATGATGATGGGCGGCGGGCGCGGCGGCGGCATGATGGGCGGCGGCGGGATGGGCGGCGGCATGATGGGCGGCGGCGGGATGGGCGGGATGGCGGGCGGCAAACCCGACCCGCGCAACCTGCAGGCGTCGCGCTCTGTGTACGTGGGCAACTTGCCCGTCGGGACGACGATGGAGGCGCGCGCTCCTCTCTCTCTCGCACCACGCACCCTCACCCACACCGCCGCCGACGCCCACGCCAACACCGCGCCGCCGACGACCCGCGCGCGGGGAACCCCCCCCCCCCCCCCCGCCAACACCGCACGCGCGCCCCACCGCACGCGCCCCGCCGCACCGCAGGAGATCGCGTCGCTCGGGCGCGGGTTCGGGCCGCTCGAGTCGATGCGGATGATGATGGGCGCCTCGTACGGCTTCCTCAACTTTTTGCGCGACGAGGACGCCTACGCGTTTTGGCAGTCTGGCCAGGCCCAGCAGCCGCACCTGCGCGGCAACCGCATCTTTCTCAACTGGGCAAAGGCGCCCGGACCGGTGGAGCCGCACGTGCTGCGCCTCGTGCGCGAGCACGGCGCCTCGCGCCACCTCGCGGTGCGCAACATCTCGGACGCAACCTCGGCCGACCAGCTCGGCGCCCTCTTCCGCCAGTTTGGCGAGGTCGAGTCGATCCAGATCAAGCCGGGCGAGGGCGCGCAGGTCAACCTGACAAACATCGCCTCGGCCGCCGCCGCAAAGGACCAGCTCGACGGGCTCACGATGGGCCAGTGGAAGCTGGTCGTGGCGTACACGACGCCGCCATGAGAGAGCCAGAGGCGGCGCCGGGGCCGCGAGGGTGTTGCGGAGCCGCCCTGGCCCGGGGAGGGCTGTCTCTGGGAGTCGGGCCCCACGAAATCGCGCGCGAGCGGGTGTCATATCATCAGCAAATTCTATCACGCCACCAGCGAAAAAGACACCACCAGCAAAATTAAGGGGGACGCATTGCTGATTGCACGCACGCACCGACAAACAACATACAGCAACACACGTATACGTAAATAAAAAAGGTTTGGCGGCGTGTTGGAAAATGGCAAAAAGCGAAAAAACCCCGCGCGCATGCAAAAATCGAGCAGCAAAAAATCGAGCAGCAAAACCGCGTCCTCGGTTCGCCTCTGAAAGGGACCCAAGCCTGCGTGCAGCGCGAGACGGCGCGCATCCCCGCGGCTCAAGGCGCAAGCGCCCCACTGTGGTGCCGGTGCGCCTTGATTGTCTCCCACTGCCTGGCCGCTACCAGCAGCAGCGAGAGCAGCGCGCCAAAGGCCTGGCAGAGCCGGCGGCGAGACACAGACGCATCGATCCCGTCGAGTGCGGCGACCCACCGCCACGCGCAGACGAGGGCGGCGAGGTTCGAGGCGCTCATGGCGACCTCGTACAGGGCTAAGAGCGTGGGCGAGGAGGGATAGAGGCAAAAGAGGTTGCAGCTGGCCGAGCCGAGCTCGAGGGCGCACACGCCCAGAAAATACCAGGGGAAGCCCGCCTATGGGAGAAGAGGAGGGCGGGTGGACGGCTCCGAGAAGGGAACGCGATGCCGCTCAGGGGAAGCCCGCCGACAGGAGCACGGCGCAGGCGTGCCCGGCGAGGCAGACGACGTGGTGAGCCGCCAGCAGGACGCGGACGTCGCAGATCTGCCAGTCGAGGAGGAGGAACGCGGGGAAGACGGCGACAAACGCCCGCTCGCCCACGCTGCACAGCTTGCCATGAGAGGTCCGCTCGCCCCACCGCTGCACGTCAAAACGGTGGGCCACCACAGCGCACCCAAGGAGCAGCGGGAGGGTGCCGACCTGCGTCGGGAGGCCGAGCGCGCAGCGCCAGCGCGGCGCGCCGTTTGCAAAGTACCCTTCCACCTGCTCTCCAAAGTGACGCTCGAGCGGACCTCTCAGCCCAAGCACAAGGCCTACATAGGCGGCAACAAGAGCCGCCGCCAGCGCGGTTCCGCCATGATCGACGGATGACGCCGCAGCCATGTCGAGGCCGCGCTCTCGCACCGTCAGTCAGATTGGGCCTGTCAGCAGCAGCACACGCGCCGACTCAGCGACATCGAGCGACATGGCGGGGTTGCTGTCGACAAAAAAAGAGGGATCCGAATAGCCCCCGAAGACGAGACGGCGGCGAGGCCGCGGTCGAAGAAGTATAAGAGGGGAATGCGGGCTCCGCAGCCGACGCCGAACCATCGGAAATCGAACAGGAGGGAGGACCGGGAGGAGAGGGGAGCCCCCTCGGATGGGGGGTGGGGAGATCGGGCGGAGGAGCCCTGAGTGGCGATGTCGGGTGAGAGTGTACGTCATGCTCGTGTCTAGTGTCTGGTGTTTACTAGCTCCGAGTAGAGGGGGCGTTCCGCCGCTAGGGGACACCCAAAGCGCAGAACTAACCCTCGGAGACCCGTGTTTACTTTAAGGCCCTTGCCCTGCGAATGCGCGCCCCCCCCCTAGCTAGGGGTCAGGGCTCTCTAGCCCGTAGCCCGATACCGATCATCCGGCCCGCTGGATGCGCTTCTCAGCTCACCGGCCCTGGATGTGAGGTTACCGACTGCACTCCAAGTGCTCCAAGATCCGAGCTCCCCGGCCCTGGATGACTGCACTCCAAGTGCTCCAAGTGCTCAGGTAGAAAAGTGAACTCGCAGAAACCGTTTCGCAATGCGCGACATTGCACTCCTCCGTGCCGCTCGCTCGCCGCTGCGCGGGACATGGGCGCCGATGCGGCTCGCGCTCACTCGGCCTGCCTCCGCCTCGCTCGCGGCTCGCTGAGCACGCCGTGGGTCCGCCTGGTGCAGCGCTGCCCGCTCGTTGCGCTGCACAAAGCTGCGAGAAGCAGGGGGCCCTCCTGAGCTGGAGCATTGTGCAGCGCGGCTGCGAGAGCTCGACGGCGCCTGTGCTGTGGTGTGAGAGCCTGATGGGTGGCAACCTCCTGCTGCATCGACATGCGCAGTCTGCTCTACCGCCGCGCCGATCTTCGCGCGGGCGGCGCGCATGCGCACCCAGGCCGCTCGCGCGCCGTCGCGCAGAGTCGCGCGTTGCTGACGCAAGAGGCGAGCTGCTCCCATTTGATCGCAAGAGCAGCCGCAGGTGCCGCAGCCTTGTGCTGCCGGAAGTTCTCGAGCCGGCGCGCGCGGCTGGCCTTGCCGCCGCGCGCACGCCGCTTTGGCGCCGCGGAAGCGATCTTGCTGCTCACCGTCAGCACGCCGTACGCCTCCTCAGAGGCCTTGCCCACCTCTCCAGATGTTGCGAGGACGCCACCCGGCATGCGCATGGCCCGGCCGGACCTGTCGTGGCGTGGAGCCTTGATGACGCTGCGACCGCGTGCAAGCACGAGCCCAGGATCGTGCGTGAGCACGCTCGCAAGGCGGACGGTATGGCAAGGCCAGCTCCCTACTAAAAAAGAGGGAAAAAGAAAAATAGTAAAGTCCAAATCGCAAACATAGAAACCCAAACACAGGCGGCGAAGTGGCATACGAGCTCGTAGCTCATCAGCAGTTGAGCGACATCGCCCCCCCCCAAAAGAAAAAAGTCTTATCCTAACGGTGTGGGGGCGCGGAGGGCTTGTTGGCGAGCCAAAATGGTGATGTCCGAGGCGCTGCGCTAGGCTCAGAGCGAGTTCGCGCTGCGCTAGGCTCAGACGGCGAGTTCGCGCTGGCCGCTGCGCTAGGGGCTCACAGACGGAGACGGCGAGTGGGAGTGCGCTGCGATAGCGTTAGCGAGGGAGGGCGAGAGCCGAGACGATCGAGTGGTCCCGTACCATGCGGAATCGATCCTATCCAGTGCTTTCAAGTGCTCAAGAAAGAAAAGGACAGACTCAGACAGCTGAGACAGCGGACAGCGGTGCAGATGGACAGGTCTCTCAGGTGAAATCTTGCCAGAATGTGGCCGCAGCAAGAGCCTCCGGCGGGCCTCCGGCGGACGCCTGCGGCGTGGCGCTGCGCGCCGGCCTGCGGCCCAGGTACCTATTTTGACCGCTCGATACCAAAATGGTTGGGTAGTAGGGCTAGAGGGTCGCTCTACACTTAGCCTCTGCAGCGAGCAAGCGCTCAACTTAGCCCCCGCACGGAGCCGGGCTCGGACTTAGACGCTGTATGGTCGGGGGCCATGAACTTAGACGGCACAAGGCCAAATCCGGGTAAAACCCGGGTATACCTGCAAAAGTCCAGGTTTACCCGAAAAATACCTGGACGCGTCCCGACCAACGTATGCCGCGCACGACGCCATATCGCCTTGTCCCAGGGCCAGTGCGCTACTTGCGGCGCGCAACTCCTGCTCAAGTACGCGCACCGTACCATGTGCTGCCGCTATGCGTGCCTTAAGGCGGCTGCGGCGAAGCGGCGGGCGCGGCATGCCGATGGCAGTGCGGACGATGCGGTTGCGATGTGTTCTGCTTCAAGATCGTGGCGGTGCTTGGCATGCACTTGTGCGATCCCAATCAGCTCATCGCAACGCGAAGCAGCGCAACAAGCTGGCTGCTGCCAACAAGGCCCTATGCTAGATCTACCTCACGCGCGGATCGTTCAAAGAGGACCAGCATACACAGGCTTCTCTGACATGCGTTTGTTTGAGCTTGAGGCTATTTATGTGAGAAATGTTTGGCTAGAGATTGCGCTCAAGAAGAGCAACGAGAATCGGAAGAGGAGGATGCTGAGGCGGCGATTGCTGAGGCATGAGGAGGATCGATCCGGATTAGAAGGCGCCCGCCGCAGGCGAAGAAAATTTGAGGGCTAGCGCCGTATCGTTGATCACGGTGGGAGCCTCTTGGCCCCAGGCTGTGCCACGGCCGACTTAGCCGATGTAAGAGGCTCTCGCTGATCTTAGACCGCGTAAGCACCCCAGCGTGACTAGTCACACTTAGACCCGCTCAGCCTCGAGGCTCAGAACTTAGACTACTACCCAACCAGTGATACCAATCTGACCGCGCTCCGAATCCCTAGCCTTGGTTGGCCCTCGCAGCTGTGATACGGCTTTACAAAAAAGTGGGGACGCCTGGCGGGCGCCCCCATAAATAAATAAAAACGGACACCTCTCTACTGTGGTGAGGTGGGTAAAAAGGAACAGGTCCCCATGACGTATTTCCTGGTTGTGGTTCGCCCCGGGTACTCTTTAGCTGTACTCGTCTAGGAAGGGGTTGACAGAATTCCCTCGACGTATTTCAAGCGCACCGCCTGATCAGCTCCAAGCCTCACAAGAGCGGCGGCGGCGCGTCGCCGGGCCGATATCGGCAGTACGTCAAGACATGGATCACGCCCCCGCCGCTCACTTCAGAATCTTGAACATGTTCTTGTGCGTCGAGAGGATGCCGGAGAAGAGAGCGCAGCCAATGAAGACACCCTCGTGCGCGAAGTAGAGCTCGCAGTCAAAGATGGCCTTGCCGACGTCTGACACGAACTTTACCAGCTCGAGCCGCACGAGGGCGAGCTTGCGCTGCTGCGAGAGGAGCTTGGGCGCGGCGACGCCCGCCTCCTCGGCGAGCAGCGACAGCTCGGCCTCCCTTCTCGCCCGGGCCGACGTGACCCAGATCTCGACGAGGGCGAGCGCGAGCTGGCAGTACTCTGCGAAGAGCATGAACTCAACGCTCAGCGTGCCCGCGGGCAGGATGCCGACGCGCTCGAGCGAGCAGACATCCTCCGCCCAGTCGGCGCCGAAGTTGGCCGCGACGCGGAAATACAGCAGGAGGCGCATCACGCGGTCGCTCTGATCGCGCGCCTCGCTCAGGTCCTGAGGTCGGGCGAGGAGCGTGGAGGTGAGGCGAGGGTGAGTGTGGGCTATCGCGGCGGCCCTGTCCTAGTGCCAGTGCCCTGAGGTGTCTGGAAGTGACAGGTGTCTTGGAAGTGACAAGGAGGTGTCTAGAGGTGTCTAGGACGCGGTCCTCAAAGTGCTTGACCCAGCGGCAAAACTTGAAGAAGCGGCGCGCGGTCGAGGTTGCCTTGGAGAGGTCCTTGAGCTGCTTCGTCAGGCCCGCAGAGAAGAGGCGCGAGTAGGCGCCTGCCTTGAGCACGTACTGCAGCACCTTGAGCCCCTTCTCGCGCACCTGCGCGCTGTTTGCAAACTTGTTGAGCACGGCCGTGCCCAGCGTGGCGTCCGTCAGCGGCACGCGCCCCCACGAGCCGCCAGCAGACCGCGCCATCTCGCCCACCGTGCTCACGCCGAGCGAGAGCACGGCAATTGACACCAGTGAGGCGACGATGACCGCCCAGCTCGGGACCGGAAGGGACGCCTCGCGGGCGCCGCATGCTCCGCAGTCGGAGCCGTCCCGGCAGGCGCCGCCGTCGTCGCACGCGCCGTCGTTGGCGTGCACGCATGAGTCGTCGCACACCGACGGCTGCCAGCCCGCGGCCTCGAGCAGCTCGCGTGGGTGTGTGACCATGGGAAGCAGCACGCTGAGCGCCAGCACGAGCGCCGAGGTCAGCAGAAAGGAGGCGGCCGAGCGGTGTCCCACTGACCTTGTGGTCGGAAGAGTCGCCTGCTTGATGTCGTACATCTCGCCAATCATTGAATCGAGCTGATTCAGGCCAGCGCCGACGGTCGCCTGCCTCGCCATGAGCACCTCGCCGCTCTTGCGCCGGCGGCGGACTTGGCGGTGGGGCTGATCGGAGGAGCCCTCTGCCGGAATTTCTTCGGCGGCCTTGGGCGTGGGCTTGACGTCGGGGATCGACATCGTGCGCGACAGGACGAGCGAATCGCCGGGGCGGGCGCCTGGCGGCTCCGCGGAGCAGATGTGCGTGCGCGAAGGATGTGGAGGAAGGAGATTCACTCGGACTACGAGCTCGTACGATCCGGCACCGGAGCCTGCCACGGAACGGACAGTCACACACTTCAATGCATAGATGTAGGAGAGACAGGCGTCGTCCCCGGCCCAGACGACGTGAAAGTAGGATTCCTAGGCGCCTTCCTGCGCCCTGAGAACGCAGGGGAGCCACCGACAAGAACCTCTACAACAGTCAAAAAACTGCGGGAATGTACATGTGCGTCAGAGCTGGGAATGTACGTTAGAGCTACAAAACATTAAAAAGAAGGCGATCGTCGAAATCATCTCGACAGCGAACTCGCGGCGCTGGCCGGACCGAAGCACGACCTCCATCCCGTGCCAACGTGTGCTACGAACACTGATGGATTTCCTGTACGCGAGCAACGCCACCATCGACCGATACACACGCGCGCAAGCAGAGTGGCCGACCACCCAGGAGCTCCTCTACGAAGGCCTCCTCGTCGCCGGCTCCATATTCCTCGCCGCTGCGCTGCTCGAGCTGACGGTCGTCGACACCGTTCGCTCGATCCTCAAGTCCAAGAACGGCGTGGAGCTGTACGCCAAGGCGTGGCTGTACAACGTCGTCAACCACTGCATGCTCGCGCCCATTGTCTACGCGGTCGGCGTGCGGCTCTTCGCCTCGCCCTCGATCCAGTTCACTCCGGCGGAGCGGGTTCTGCACTATGCGAGCTGCGTCGCCATCCACTCGGCAGGGTACTACTGCACGCACCGAGCCATGCACACCAAGACCCTCTACTGGGCACACAAGTATCACCACCGCTTCAACGTCCACATCTGCCCGATCGCCGCGTCGGCCGTCACGCAAGTCGAGTACATGTTCGCCTATCTGATCCCATTCATCATCGCCGGCGTCCTGATGCAGCCCGTTCCGATGGAGACGATCGCCGTCGCGGGTCTCGCCATCGGGCACATCAACAACCTGATCCACACGCCGTGGCTCGAATCTCTCTCCCACCGCGTCGTCCCGTGGATCGGCGTCTCTACCGCCGATCACTTTGACCACCATCGCAAGCTGACAACCAACTACGCGGCCCCGACGATCAATGTCGACAGGCTGCTGAAGCTCGCGCCGCCGCTCGAGCGGGCCGCCTCGCGCCTCTTCGCCGCCTTTGGCAAGCCTGTCGCTTGCAGCAGCAAGGGGGCGTGAGCCGTGCTGCGCTTTGCTCGCGTGACTGTCTAACACCCTCGCCGAACCTTGGTCCCGATGCGCAAGCTGCCGCCGTGTGTGGAGTCTGGAGAGGTGTACATGCAGGGCGCTGAGTCCCACGCCTGTGCCTATGTGTTGAATACGTCGCGAGAGGCTGGAGGGGCGAAGGGGCCACGGAGACGCGGGTCAGTGGGGACCGCTCGTGGTGGGGACAGTGCGACTGGGGTGGCCCGCCTCGGGGTCGCGCCGGGGAGCCCCCGGAGTCGTGATACAGTCACATATGCAAACGTTCGCAAACGCCCATACACACACACGCAAAACACACGTGGAGAGTACGAAAGTGCTCACAGGAGTGAGGAGAGAGCGAGAGGTGTGGTGACAGATGACAGTATTAACCTCAGCGCGCGGTTTCCCGCAAATATCACCAGATCAGGCGAAGGCACCAGCCCACCCGCAGCCAGAGCCGCCTGCACGGGCTCGGGTCGAAGGAGAGTCCGTCGACGGCGCGCGCATAATGCGGCTCCACCGCGAGCGAGAGCAGCGCGAGCAGCGTGATGGGCGGCGCGAGCAGCACGCAGTAGCCGACGCCGCCCAGGATCTGCGTCCAGGTGGAGAGAGTCGGGCCGAGGACGAAGCGCGCAAAGAGCAGCGCCGTCGGCCAGGCGAGGACCGACACCTGCGCGCCGACAAGCATGTGCCGCAGCAGCGAGTGCCGCCAGGCGGGGTGCGTGCCCAGGAACGGGAAGAGGCGCGCGTAGCGCGCGGTTGCGGTGAGAGGGACCTTGGCAAAGCCCCAGGCCGTCGCCTCGGGGAGGCCGGCCGGCGCAAGCAGCGGGCATAGGAAGGAGGCGAAGAAGGGCGAGCCCAGGATCGGCCCGATGACCTGGTGCGGCGTTCGAGAGGGGTCTGCGGGGCTTGGTGGTGGGGGCGGGGCGGCAATCGAGAGGGGCGCACCTCGGGCGCGTCCCAGCTGTACGGGCCCGTGGATATGACACCAAAGAGGAGGTAGAAGCACAGCAGAGGCCCGGTGGCCGAGCCAACCATGTTGAAGAGGACCTGCGAGAGCATGTACCTGCTCGAGAGCACGCCGCGGACGGTCGTGTAGCCTGCCGTAGGCGCGGCGTCCAGCTGCCCCGGGAAGGGATCGCGTCTGCGTGCGGCCGTCTCGGCGGCCTGTGTCGAGAGATCGACCTCAATGTAGATGTTTGATGCCGCGGTACCGTCGCCGCCAGGCTTGCTGGTGGACGGGAGCTCCTCGCCGTCGACAAACACGGCGCAGTCTCGGGCGTCCGAGGTTGACGCGGCTGTCAGCTCGGTGCCTGCCGTACGCGAGGGCATGAGTCGCGCGCCGTCGTGAGCGGCCCACTCCAATAAAGAATTTTTTGGCCCACACGTCACAGGTCGCATTCCGAGCTCGGATCCCGAGGGTCGTCGGCATCTTGTGGTTGTCATGGTCCGCCACAAACAGGGCGCCCCCGTCTGGGCTGATGGCGATGCCAATTGGGCAGTAGAACTGCCCCGCCGCGTCGCCCACGCCATCAGCGCTGCCACTGGTGCCACTGCCCGCGAGCGTCGTCACAGCGCCCGTCGCCACCTCCACCCGCCGGATCTTGCGGTTGTCGAGGTACAAACAGTGCACTCCCGTCGGGGCTGATGGCGATGCCGGCTGGACGGCAGAACTGCGCCGCGACGCCCACGCCATCCCGCGGGGGAGCTGCCTCGAAAAAGGGAGCACACAACGCACGCTGTCCTGAGCTGCCCACTCGTGAAATAAGAATTTTATGACTCCCCGCGTGTGTGTCCTGTCCCTTGGTTTGTCTGTTTTCTTTCTTTTCCGGGTCCCGTTGGATTTACAAACAAGTACACACATGGAAGAAACACCGACCCGCGCGCCACGCCTTAGGCTGTACCAGGTTTTCCTCTCGCACCCCGTCTCGCGTCTGTTTTCCTTTCCTTTTTTCCTACACTTTCTTTTCCTCTCTATTTTCCCGGGAAAACTCCGTGCACCGTGGAAATCGTCAAATTTTGGGCTCTGCGAGCCGAGTCTGAGGCTGGTTTGGGCCCAAAATCAGCCAAATTTTAGGCCAAATCGGCAAAATGCCGGGAATTTTGCGGAGAACCCGTGTATACCTGGAATTTACCCTGCGACCGCCTGGGTATTTTGTCGATTTCCTCAATTTTGCCTCAGATTTTGCCCCAGACCAGCTCTCAGTACTCAGACTCAGGGAAACTCGTGAGTTTCCAGAATGGAGCACCTTCCTGCACCCTCTGTTTTCCCTGGAAATTTCCGGAAACGCAAAGTGCTGGGCCTGGGGACCCTCTGTTTTCCTTTTTGCCGGAAACCTGGTAGGCTGGTACAGGCCAAGCCACGCCGCTCGCGCCGCCTCGCAGCCGCCGCAGCAGCAGCCACTGCCGCACCCGCTACGCCGCATTCCACCCAACCCTTTTCCTGGCTCAACACAAGCTGAAGATGTTCACGGTAGTCTCCCGCATGGGGAGCCCCGGGTACTCGTTAGCTGTACTCGTCTAGGCAGGGGTTGCATTCCACCGACCTGCTCACGCCGCCGCCCGCCCGCCTCCTCGACCTCCCCACGGACGCCTCGAGCACTCAAGGACTCGCGCAAAAAGAAAAATTGGTGCGTACACAACGGCGACGTCGACCAAGTTTGAGGTAAGGAGCTCGGAGCAGCCACTGCGATAGGACGCGTCTGTCGCGACGGAATGTGGTCACGTTGCATGATGATGCTGTTCGCCTACTACTGCGCGGCGATTGCCTCCGCCGCGCCAGCCTGCGTCCCAAACCCGGTGGCACGATGCCCGCGCATCTTCAGGCCCGTGTGCAAGGAGGGCCTGCATTACGCCAACGGCTGCCTCGCCGAGGCCGCGTGCGTCTTTGATGCCACAGCAGAAGAGTGTGGCGAGATGGAGGAGTCGTCCATGCACGGCGTGCCAGTGAGCGACGAAGCAGCCTTCATCACGGTCGGGACGGCCAACACCCTCCCCGCTCGCGTCTCCTCGGGCCCGGAGATCACCGTGCAGCGGCCCGGCTTTGGCGCTGCTACGACCCTCCCCGCTCGCGTCTCCTCGGGCCCGGAGATCACCGTGCAGCGGCCCGGCTTTGGCGCTGCTACGACCCTTCCCGCTCGCGTCTCCTCGGGCCCGGAGATCACCGTGCAGCGGCCCGGCTTTGGCGCTGCTACGACCCTCCCCGCTCGCGTCGGAGGCCCGCCCGACGCGGCCGAGGCAGAGGCTGTCAACTGCTGCGGTGGCGGCGGGGCTTGCGGCTACGAGCACTGTCCTGCGCTGGGTGCTGGGACCGAGGGCTGCGTGCACCGTTGGGAAATGCCAGACGGCATGGACTTTGAGTTGGATTGTGCGGTCTCGCTGACGGAGTCTGCGGCACGCACGGGCGGCGTCGATCCCAAAGCCGGCATGATTGAGCACCTGCACGCCAAGTGCGAGGACTGCGTCGGCGAGGGCTTTGCCTGGCAGGCGGACGCGTGCCAAAAGGTGGCGACGCCGTGGCACGGAGGACAGTGGCAGTACTGCGGTCTGCAGGACGTCGCGTGCATCACGACGGCCCGAGGCTGCGAGTACTACTACAAGGTCGATGGGATGTATGGAGAGGAGCACGGCCTCGACCTGGAGGCGGAGGCAGCGGCTTCGGCCGGTGGTCCACGCACCCGCCTCCCTGCGGTCGCCCTCGCGTGCGCCGCCCTCGCTCTCGCCGCTTTCGGCGGCGCGCTGGTGCAGCGGACACGCGCAAGGCGTCGCTACACCGAGTTCATGGCCGAGATGACTGGCGACGTGCGTTTCGTGCCGCACGTGGCGATGCTGCAGGAGCCTCCGCTCGTATAGGCGAGGAGGGCCTCAGAGGGAGCGGAGCTCGCCTGGTGCGCGCAGAGAGTGCAGACTGTGTACGGGCACGTGTACGTGTGTTGTGTGTACCGCCTCCCTACAAGAGGCTTACGAGTGCCGCATGCATGATGCAGCGCGGCGAGCGGCTGCGGGTGCGCGTGCGTAAACGGGTGTGTCGGGTGGGTAACGTTTACAGTTATTTTGAATTTTGTGGAGGGGAGTGTGGGCCGGAGTGGCCAGTGCGACACACCTGTGTGCGTGCCGAGTAACCTCTACAGTTTTTTCTATTGCAATAAGAGGTCAGAACACACTCTCGAGACGAACACACACTCGAGAGCCGCTAGCCCCCTCTCCCGCCCTAGCTCGCGCCGTGCATACATCTTACATGCCTCCAGACGTATGCACACCCATCGCATGAGAGAATGTGCACTGAATGATACACTCTCGCTCGAGAGTTTCGACGCTTTGTGATTGTGTCCGTCTTTCGACTCCCCGTCGGACACACATGGCTCTCTAGTCGTCGACGACTGGGATCCGGCACTGGCCGCAGAACCGCCGTTTGGTGCCGCGGCTGCGCTGCTCCTGCGGGGAGAGCATGTGCTTGGCCCAGTTCCCCGCCTCGGTCCTCGGCCGCTTCTCGGTGCACTTGCCGTTGAGGCCGTCACAGCAGAAAAAGGGGCCGCCGACCGCCGCCTTGAGCTCCTCAGTCCACTTGGCACAGCGCGGCTTCTTCCGCACCACTACCTGCTGAGTCGAGGCCTCTGGGGGCTTCTTGCTGGCGGCGCTCGCCGAGCGCCCGCTGAACCCGATCAAGGCGGTGGCCGCCGAGGCAGCCTGCGAATCAGATCGGTCGGCAGGCGGCGGCGGCGGCAGCTGAGCGTGGGTCGCCCACGAGGAGGCGGCTGAGGAGGCCCACCCATCGCCGACGCCAAGGCGTTGAGGGAACGCGCCGCGGTTGGCTCGGTTGCGGCCGAGGAGGGGCGGGCCGGCTTCCGACGTGGAGCGTCTCAACGCTTTGGGCGCGGCGGTATGCGAATTCGGCAGCGGAGCCGACGGAGGCGGCGCCGGCACTGCCACCTGAGGCGCACTAGGCTGCCTGGCGAGCACCAGCTCCAGGATCTCCCGCCGTGCCGCCGCCGGCAGTGCCTTCAGCGCCTCTCTTGCTGAAAGGCTGAGGCCAGTCGCCTCGAGCTCAAGTGCCTCGCCCGAGGGAATGCTGAGGCCAGTCGCCTCGAGCTCAAGTGCCTCGCCCGAGGGAGGGCTGAGGCCAGTCGCCTCGAGTTCGAGCGCCTCGCTCGAGGGAGGGCTGAGGCCAGTCGCACGGTCGATGTCGGTCTCTGCAATCGCGAACGAGAAGCGTGGCATTTACAACACAACGCCGCCGCCGACAGTAACACCAGCTTTGTATTTCAACCAGCACGTTCGCCGACCTCGCGCAGACAGAGCGGGAATTCTGTCGCGGAACATTTTTTTCTCCCCAACTCCCCCCCCCCCCGGAACACCTGCCCAAGAAGATCCGTCGACGTTTAGCCATTAGCCAGTCCCCGCACTCCCAGACAAGGCGCAGGCGACGGCTTCCTTAGAAGCCGCGCAAAAAAAGAAAAGGCGTGTCGCTGAAGAGAGTTGTACGAGTAGACCTCGCCCTCGCCCTCGCCGCCGCCGCCAGCCCCGCCGCCGTATGTCTCGCCCGCCTCCCGTCCCGCCACCCGTGCCTCCCGTATCGCCGTTGTCGATCGATACGGTCGGCCACCAATCCCTGGACGACGATTGCCGGGTCTGGTCGCCTGCACGGGCGTGGCGTGAGTCTCCGCGGTGGCAGAGGTCGGCGGATGGGAGCCAGCCTCACCCGGCGGGGCTCGGCGAGCCCTTCCTCGACGAACGTGTGGCCTCAGGTGCCTCGCCGCTCACCAATGAGCGGGTCGTAGCCGCTCTGCTGCCGAACCAGGCGTCGAGCATATCCAGCTCCGGGGAGCACGAGCCGTGGCCACCGGCGGACGGCGTCCCGGTCCATAGCGGGGACGAGCTGCCGCCCTTCCGCTTCAGCTGGCGGAGGCTGTGGCGTTTCCTGGGCCCGGGCTTCCTGATGAGTCTGGCTTACCTCGATCCCGGCAACCTGGAGAGCAACCTGCAGGCGGGGGCCTACACGGGCCTGCGGCTGACGTGGGTGCTCTGGTGGGCGACGATGATGGGGCTGGTGATGCAGGAGAGCGCGGCGCGGCTGGCGCTGGTGACGGGCTGCGACCTCGCCCAGCTCGTGCGCGCGAGGTACCCGCGCTGGCTCAACTACGTCGTGTACTTTAACATGGAGGCCGCGGTCATCGCGGCAGACTTCCAGTGGTGCGGTCCCCGCCACCCATGACACGTCCTTGACGCGTCCCTGACACGCCCCACAGGCAGACATCCAGGAGGTGGTCGGGTCCGCCATCGCCCTCTCGCTGCTCAGCGGAGGGTGGGTCCCCCTCTGGCTCGGCTGCATCATCACCGGCCTCGACAGCCGACCCTTCCCGACGCGCCCGACCCGGCCCCGACCCGGCCCCGCCATGTCGCGCAGGCCTCGACACCTTCACCTTCCTCGCGGTGCAGCAGCTCGGCGTGCGCTACCTCGAGCTTCTCATCTGCGCGATGATCGGCGCGATGGCGGTCTGCTTCTCTCTCAACTTGGGCCACACCGGGGTCGACTCGGCACGAGCCGCAGCTGGCTGTGGGTGTGAAGAGGGTCGTCGCTGCAGGCCGCCGCTTGCGAGTAGGCCGAGCTGCTGCGCGGGTGGGCGCTACCCGGCCTGCAGAGCTACGCCGTCACGCAGGCCGTCGGGACGGTCGGCGCCGTCATCATGCCGCACAACCTCTTTCTGCACTCGGGGGTGGTGCTGTCGCGCCGCGTGCCTCGCTCGACGCCGCGCCGCGTCAACGAGTCGATCTGGTACACGCGGATCGAGTCGACGCTCGCGCTGCTCCTCTCCTTTTACATCAACCTCGCCGTGGTCGCCACCAACGACGCGAGCTTCTTTGACCCCGCGTGCGCCACGCAGCCCGACGGGCCGAAGGCGTGCTTGCCTGCGAGCGCGGCCGATACGACCATCACCTCGCACCACTGCGACCGGCCGGGCGGGGGAAAGGGCGTGTGCGGCGAGCTCGGCCTTCTCGCCGAGGGGTACGCGCTCGAGGCGAGCCTCGGGCCGACTTCGCTCTACGTGTGGGCCATCGGGCTGCTCGCCGCGGGCCAGGCGTCGACGATGGTGTGCACGTACGCGGGACAGATCATCATGGGCGGCTGCCTCGAGCTCTCCCTCGCGCCGTGGTGCGGCGCACACAAGTAGCTCCGCCGGCCAGCAGCTTCGCCCCTCTCCCCCTCTTGCGCCGCCGCGCCTGGCCGCTCCAGCCGCACGCCAGCTGACGCCGAGCGCGACTCACAGGAAGCGCGTCGCGCTCACGCGCTCCCTCGCCCTCGGGCCCGCCCTGCTGGTGGCGGCCTATACCGCGCCCAACCCGGCGCTCTTCTCCAACATCAACGAGTACCTCAACGTCCTCCAGTCGGCAGCCCTGCCCCTCGCACCCGCCAGCCATTCGCCCGCACCGTCACACGCGTAGCCTCTCGCCCCCTCTCCAGGTGCGCCCTCCTCCCTCCTGCCCACCTCAACGCAGGTGCAGCTCCCGTTTGCAGTCTTGCCGGCGCTCACTTTCGCCGCCTCCAAGCCGCTGATGGGCCCCTTCCGCACGCGGCGCGCGCTGCTCGCCGTCTCGTACGCGGTCGCCACCGTCATCATCGCCGTCAACATCTACCTCGTCGCGCAGAGCGTCGCGCACCTCTCCTCGCTCGCGGCGCTCGCCGCCTTCGCCTACTCGGCGCTCTACGTCGCCGTCTGCATCCGGATGGCATGCGGCTGAGTCAACAGTCAGGCGGCCATCGATCGACTGTAGCTACACCGCGACAGCACTCAGCAGCGCCCCGCCGGCCCGCCCGGATCTGTATCTGAAAAAACGCTCTTTACTTATTTGCATACTCCTCCCTCGAGAAATAGCGCCGTATGGACTATGGTTGACCAGGGCCGGCGAGTACAGTACCGAGTACAATTTTCTCCCGTCACATCCTTCGCGCTTTTCTCTCTCCAAAACGCGAAACGAGAAAATGCGCCAGAAAGCAGAAAATGAGAATCTCTCGAGAACGGCGGTTCTTCTCGTTTTATCTTTTGGCGGTTCATCTCTCCACCCTCGCCCAGGGATCTACAACGCTGTCTTAAGGTCCGACCTGTGGGCTCTGCCTGCGCTCGGCACCGGGCACCGCCTCGGTATACAAAATGCGCCTGCGGGCGGACCCTCACAGATCACAGATCACAGATCACATCACGACACGCTTACAAGGCACACTGACACAACTGGCGGCAATGACGAAGTTGGCGCATGGCGGCGAGGAAGTGAGGTGGGCGGGTTCCGAACTTTCGACCTTTCCCCGCCCTCCTCTAGGTCACCACTCTGGCCAAGCAGAGCCCGAGAAGCTTCTCAGAAGGGATTTCACCAGCGAGGAGCAGAAGATCGGAAAGCGCTGTTGCGCAACCAACGACAGGCACAGAACCCATGCCAATAGCGCCATGCGCGTCTCCGACGGGTGGGTCTGAGTGAGGTCCTGCCACGTCCTCGTCCTTCTGCTCGTTGGCGTTTGCCGGCTCGCTCTTCTTTAAGCGCAGCGGGCGGGAGAAGTCAGGCCTCGCGGGTACCTGATCTACCTGCCCGCGCATCGCTTGGGAAGTATCAGTACCATCCGTGTGCTCTCGATCACTCGAGACGCGGTCTGGTTCTGGCTCACTCGGCTCAAGTTGCTTTTGCTGCTTATCTGGCGCCGCAATCCACTCTGGGGTGAGGGCAGCCGCCGCCTGCCGCCGCGACTGATCGTACGAGCCAGTGATTTCTTGCGATCCCTTCTGGCTAGCGGTGAGCGCTCCACGGGCCCAGCTTCCAGAGACCCTGGCTGAGGTTGGCAGCGTGACCATCCCGTGCCCATGACGAAGGCCGCCATGCCACTGGCCTTCGTAGCGCCGCCCGTCTGGCTCGAAGCAAATGCCGTGGTCTTCGGGAGCTCCTGCTCGGAAAGTGCCCTCGAAGCGAGCGCCGTTTGCATACCTCATGCTGCCGCGCCCATCCGGCGCGCCCGACCGTACCTGGCCATCGAAGCGGTGACCGCCCGAAAGCAGGAGCGTCCCACGGCACGAGTGCGCCTCTCCTCCTCGCCATTCGCCCTCGAGCTGGGCACCGCTTGTGTAGGTAAGACGCCCGCGGCCGTGCGGAGCGCCCGCTCGCCAGCTCCCATCGAACGTACCGCCCTTGTGTGGCACGCTGTCGGCATGCGCCGCCTTATCCGGGCACAGTGCGCCCTTTGCAAAGGTCCCCCTCAGTGAGGCGCCTTGCGCTGATGTCAGGACACCTTTGCCGTGTGGCTGACCGCCCACCCAGCCTCCCTCCCAATGGGATCCGTCCCCAATCGTGCATGAGCGCCACACTGGCAGCGCCTCGTCGAGGCAGCCATTCGCCCAAGTGCCCTTCGTCTTCGAGCCATCGGCGGCAGTGAGTATGCCTCGTCGCCGCTCGCCCTCTACCCACTCCCCCTCGAAGGACTCAACGCCTCCGTTCTCGCCCCTGCGCAGCTCGTATCCAGGACCGTGGCGCCGCCCACGCGCGAAGCTTCCTCTGAATTCGACCGTACCGTCCGCCGACACAAAGTTGCCCTCTCCTTCGAACTCGTCGCCGGCAAAGCGGCCTTCGTATCTCCCCTCAGAGCAGTGGAGCACGCCGCCCCCCGTCCTTTTGCCCTCCTGCAGCCTGCCGGAGAAGCTCCCACCGCCGGGCTCGAGGAAGCCTTGCGCCACAACGCAGTCGTGAAACGTGCCTCGGAAGGTGCCGCGAATCGATCGTGGGCCGAGTGCAAGCAGCCCGTCGCCACACCACTGGCCGGCACGCCAAGCCCCACTAAAGCGGACAGGTTCGAGCTCCGTGCGCAGCAGGATGGCCTCGCCCGTGCCGTGCGGCGCGCCGTCCTCCCAATCTCCTCGATACTCCCCCCACCAGCAGTGGCGCTTACCCGACCACCAGCCGGCAGCCTTCATGCTCCAGGGCCAGTCATCCTTCCACAAGCCCTGCAGCCTGTCGCCGCCGTCACCTGCTCGTGTGAGGACGCCCTCGCCGTGCCGGACGCCGCGCTTTTGCCCAGCGATCCCGGTGGTCCTCCAGCCCCCGTCGTAGGCGTCGCCGTTCGTGTAGGTGTGCCGCACCGTCCCCTCCATAAACTCTCCGTCAGCGCTCCAGCTGCCGACCAAGCGATCTCCGTCCTGGAAGGTGAGGCTACTGCGCTCCCCTCCTCGCCGGCCCAAGGTGAA